CAAAATGTGATAGGTGCCAATAGGTCCAATAAGGTTAATGTAGAAAATCATAAAAAAAGGGTTTTGTGTATTTCTGTTTTCTTGTTTTCCTTTTGATGTAGGGTAACTCCTAGTGGTTAAGAATTTGTTCTTAACCAAAAGTTGTTATCCCATATCCCCATAAAATTGTTAGGAATTAGTTTTATCCCCTACTTATATATAGGTACCATACATTGGGAAAATAAGAGAAGAAGATAATTTTTTCGTTCTTTAAATTTACATGATATTAGAGCAGATCTGATGCAAAAAAATTATCATCTTGACTGAGCCGAAGTTTCAGATGGCCACAGATGAGCAACCGTCCTCTCCACCCAAGGTTTCCTCAGGTTCCTATCTTCCTATGCCCATCAACCACGAACTGGTTGAATAGACGTCATCATTCATTACTAGACACAAATTAAACGGTAATAACTATCTCTAGTGGTCATCATCAGTGTTGCTATTTATCCGGGAAAAAGGCCAAGATGAATACCTCACCAGCAAAATCGTACTAACACCAGCCAATGATCCGAATGCTCGAAAATGAAAGATCGAAAATAGCATGGTTATGTCATGGTTAGTGAATTCCATGACCACCAAAATTGGAGAGAACTTTTTACTCTATGAAACCGCGCACGAAATCTAGGAAGCTGCTCGAGAATTCTACCCCAGTAAAGACTACATCGGCCATATTCAAGATCGAATCTACTCTTCACGATCTGCGACAAGGTGATTTAACTGTAACTCAATTTTATAACACTCTCACTCGAAATTGGTAACAGCTTGATGCGTTTGAAGGAACATCATTGGAGCTGTCCCGAAGATACCAAAGTTTTCAAGTCAATTATCGAGCAGAAAAGGATCTTCAAGTTCCTAATGGAACTAAATAAAAATCTGGATGAGGTGCGAGGACAGTTATTAGGAATCAAACCATTACCGAGCATTCGAAAAGTGTTTTCCGAGATTTGTCGAGAAGAAAGCCGAAAAAAAGTGATGATGGGAGACACAATCCACTCACATGACTGAAAATGCTTCTGTACTTACAACCCGAACGCATGATTCCCGTGGGAAGAAAGGACGTCCATGATGCGATCACTGCAAGAAACCAGGCCACCTACGTGAGAAGTGTTGGAAACTCCATAGAAAACCTAGTGACAGGAAACCCTCAAAATTTGAAGCCTTCAACGACCACCATGGAAACCATGCGACTTCTGAAGAGACACCCTTGATTCCTATAGAAAGCAACCTATTCAGTCCAGAGCAGATGGAAGCTCTTCAAAAGATGTTCTCTCAGAAGAATCACTTTGGTAATGCATCAGTAGCACACAAAGGTAAAACTCTACTTGGTTTTTCAGCTTACTCCATAAAAAGACAAATGTGGATTGTAGACTCCGAGACATCATATCACATGACTTGTGATGTGTCATTATTTTAACAATACAGTCCGTGTAGAGAGAGATTACCATAAAAATTACCAACGGGTCAATCTCTAAAGTGGAAGGAATGGATTCTATTGTTTTATCACTATATTTGATCCTCCATTCGGTTCTCTACGTCCCAAACTTGGATTGTAACTTATTATCCGTGAGCAAACTATCTCGGGACCTAAATTGTGTTGCTAAATTTGTCTCAAACTTGTGTGAATTTCAAGACTTGGATTCGGGGATGACAATTGGCAATGCTAGGATGCATTTGGGACTGTACCTTATTCAAGTTGACACTTTCCCTTCTAAAAGACAAATTCACAATCAGTGTGTGCAAACTCAGTTTCTGTAAATCATGACAATACTATCATGTTGTGGCATTATCGACTAGAACATCCAAATTTCTTGTATCTGAAAAAATTGTTCTCATCTTTATTTAGAAATAAAAATCTACTTTCATTTCAATGCGAAGTGTGTCAGTTCTCTAAACATATTCAAAGTTTCTTTACTAGTCTAGCATACAAATCCTCAAAACCATTTGCATTAATTCACAGTGATGTATGGGGACCTTCCAGGGTTACTAACATCACCAGAACTAATTGGTTTGTATCCTTCATTGATGATCATACTTAAATTATCTGGGTATTTCTCATGAGAGAAAAATCTGAAGTAGCACAAATATTTCAGAAATTCAACACTATGATCCAAACTCAATTTCATACCAAGATACAAGTGTTGAAATCTGATAATACATATGAATACTTTGAAACTACCATCAGAAAATACTTTACTGAGCAAGTTATTATCCACCAAAGCTCATGTGTCAACACCCCTCAGCAAAATGACATAGCTGAAAAGAAAAACAAACATATCTTTGAAGTTGCTCGATCACTCATGTTTACTACTCATGTTCCAAAATATCTTTGAGGAGAGGCAACACTCATAACTACATACTTAATAAATAGAATGTCTTCCCGTATCTTACATTTTCAATTACCTTATAATATTCTCTTACAAACTTTCCCTAAATCTCATGTTCTAAACACCCTTCCACTCAAGGTTTTCGGCTGCTCAGCCTATGTTCATATCCATGCCTATCTCCGAGGAAAACTTGATCCAAAAGCCCTCAAATGTATCTTTGTTGGATACTCTTCTAACCAAAAAGGATACAAATGTTTCTTTCCGGATACCCTTCGGTTCTACAACACAATGGATGTGACATTCTTTGAAAATCAACATTTCTATCCCACTACTAATTAATTCATGAGAAGAATTTTACTTAGAAATATCAATTGTGGGATATGAACACACCTTCTCTCTATCCACATATCTCACCACCACCAAACACATCTTCTCTAGATCCTGAGCCTATAGAAGAAACTGAAAATACATTACCTGCAATTAATAGTGAGTTATGTGTCTACATTAGAAGAAATAAGATTCAAGATGGGAAGGTGCCCGAATCAACCAAGTATTGTCATGAATTAATTCCTGCTCCAAGCATCCATAATTCAACAAGTAATGAGATCTCTGTCACAGCTCCTAATACAGATACTGAGTTGCCTATTACTTTGCGAAAAGGTACTCGGTCATGCACTAAACATCCCATACAAGACTATGTTTCATTTAACAAGCTGTCTTCAAAATATCATGCATTTGTGAGCAAATTAAATAGCAATCCCACAGAACCAAAAACGATCCATGAAGCACTCCAATTACCATAATGGAGAGCAGCTATCTAAGAGGAAATCAGAGCACTTGAAAAAAATGAAACATGGGAGTTAACAGAACTGCCTATAGAAAAGCGTCGGGTAGAATGTAAGTAGATTTTTACAACTAAACATAATCCGGATAGGAGTGTGAATCGGCATAAAGCTCGTCTAGAATCTAAAGATTTTACTCAGTCTTATGGGATAGACTATCAAGAAACATTTGCTCCTGTTGCCAAACACAATACTATCCAGGTATTACTTTCACTAGCCTCAAACCTTGATTGGCCTATTTGTCAACTAGATGTGAAGAATGTTTTTTTCAATGGTGACCTAGAAGAAAAAGTATACATTAAAATTCCACCGGCACTTGAGATGACATACAACTCCCACAAGGTGTGCAAACACAAAACGTCACTTTATGGACTTAAACAGTCCTCAAGAGCATGGTTTGATGAATTCACTAAGGTAGTGAAACGAGTGGGATATGAGCAATGTTAGTCAGATCATACATTATTTGTCAAGCATTGTACCTCGAGTAAGAAAACTATCTTGATTGTGTATGTTGACGATATCATTTTGACAGGAGATCATATGGAGGAAATTCAAAAACTTAAAGAATTCTTAACCAAAGAATTTGAGATCAAAGACCTTGCAACGCTCAAGTATTTCCTTGGTATGGAAATACCTTGGTTCAAGAAGGGAATTCAGTATCACGACGGAAATATGTTCTAGATCTCTTAAGAGAGACAGGAATGTTCGAATCTAAACCTACGGATCCAACAACTAAGCTAGGATTCAAGGTTTGTGATAAGCCAGTTGATAAAGAGAGGTATAAAAGATTTGTAAGCAAACTCATCT